ACTGCACAAGCAAGCCCCCGAAGCTCACTTGGCGAGTGTTGGCCTCCCAGCTGGGATCTCAAGCTTTTGGCTATGACTCCTCTTCTGCAGGTTTTGGGATTCCCTACCCTTTGGCTATACCAAGCCGCTTCAGCTTGTCGGGTCAGGAACCTGCCCTAATGACTGCGCACTACCCTCCTCCTCAAGGACCCTGGCCTCGACAGCAAGTTGCAAGAGCGAGCCTCCGTTTTTGCTACACTCAGAGGAGGTTCTTCCAAGCATCTAGAGAACAGCTTCCGGAATTGGCTCCGTAATTCGAGCGTTCTTTTGGCCCATGTGTTGCAACGATGTCCGACGTGGAAGCACCTCCTGTTCCTTCCCCTCAAAGAGTGGAGTTGCCGCAGGAGTGTAGAACGTCCTTCGTAAATAAATGGTCCTTCCTCGTCTGCCTGTTGCTTGGAGACTTTGTCCGCCCGTCTGGCCCGCCTGCGACAGGAGCGTCAGGATGCAAAGTGGTATTGTCTGCGTGTCTAGAAGATGTCTTGATTGTCTTTCGTCCAAAGCAGGTAGAGCGCGCAGAGTTGCTAAGATCCTGAAAGCAGAGCAAAAACGACTTTGCAAGGCATGGTTCTGTCTGCTGCCCCGTCGAATGTAGATGTTTGTGAACTTGCCCAGGCCAAAAAAAACAGTAGCACGGCAGCTTTCTGAATCGCAGTAAATTAACCCTTGTCGTTTCTCACACGACGGCGCGAATGTTTTAACGCGCATTGAGCCCGGCACTGAGAGTGATCAGCGGTCAGTGAGCTTCGCTGTCGCCTCTCTGGTGTTGAACTGTTGCCCCAGCAGCGAGTATCTGTTGAGCAGTGACTAAGCTCTGCCAGCTTTTAGTACGTGAGTCAGTGAGTGTGAATGAGGGAGCTTAGCTGCGACGAACGGCTGCCTGCAGCGCGTAAATTCTTCTTCGGTGTCGGGTGAGCAGTGACCAAGCTTCGCTCTCTCTTTTCCAAGGGAATGAATGTTTACGGCTTTGAGCCCGGCGCTGAGAGTGGTCAGCGGTGCGAGCCCTGCCGAAGCAGTGGTAGTAACTTCTTCGTCTTCGGTTGAGCGTGAGCGGTTCAGCAGTGTGCAAGCCTTATCTGAGCCAGGGCACGAATGTTTCACGGGCTTTGAGCCCGGCACTAAAAGCGATGACTCTGCGGGGTGGGGTTTGCCATCTGGCAAAGAGGTCTGCCATCTGGGCCAGTGAATGTATGAGCATTGCCCAAACTGTTGCCTGAGCAGCCGGTAAACTTTCCGGCTAGTCAGTGACGAAGCCTTGCCTTGACGTAATCCCAGCCTTCTTTTTCTGAAGGCCACAAAACGTGGTTGCGGTGTAGGGTTTAGGATGAGTAAGTGAGCCTTGCTGTAGTCCATGTGGGCAGCCAAAACTCTTTGTTGACATCTAGCAGGTTTTTCCGAATGCACGAATGTGAGCCCGTCATATCATGCTCATTCGCTTCTGAAATGTTGAGCATGTTGCAAGGTCGAAGCTGAGCGCCGTAGTCTTTTACGTAGAGCAACGCGCAGCATGAAAATCTGGATCCGAAATTGTCCGCTTGCAGAAAGCCAGGACAGGCAGACTCTACTGATCCGCCGCAGTTTGATTCGAGATTGTATGCTGCAGGGTGTGAGGATACAGACGAGGGAACTTAAACGAGCCCAGAGGTGGCGGGCAAATCATTTCACCCTTAGGACAAAGCCGGTGGTAAAATACTCAGCTGCCAACTGAGTTTGATCGACTCCGGCATGTCTGGGACCTTCCACCGTTCTAATAGTGTTATACTACCCAAAGGGTGTGTAAGTGGGTTCCCTTGGTTTTTGCAGCAGATGGGGTGGGTTCCCTGTGGGTTCCCTTGTTTTTTGCAGCACTTAAGGTGGGCTACATATGGGTTCCCTTGTTTTTTGCAGCATTTCGGGTGGGTCTGTGTATGTTCTTCAGATAGCTTTCTTGTAGATTCCCATGGTTTTTGCAGCATGGACGGTGGGTTCCCTGTGGGTTCCCTAGTTTTTGCAGCATTTTTAAGTGGGTTCCCATGGTTTTTAACAATATCGATGGTGGATTCTCTGTGGGTTCCCTTGTTTTTTGCAGCACTTCAGGTGGGCAACATATGGGTTCCCTTGTTTTTTTGCAGCATTTCGGGTGGGTCTGTGTATGTTCTTCATTTAGCTTTCTTGTAGATTCCCATGGTTTTTGCAGCATGGACGGTGGGTTCCTTGTGGGTTCCCTAGTTTTTGCAGCATTTTTAAGTGGGTTCCCATGGTTTTTAACAATATCGATGGTGGATTCTCTTTGGGTTCCCTTGTTTTTTGCAGCACTTCAGGTGGGCAACATATGGGTTCCCTTGTTTTTTGCTGCATTTCGGGTGGGTCTGTGTATGCTCTTCAGATAGCTTTCTTGTAGATTCCCATGGTTTTTGCAGCATGGACGGTGGGTTCCCTGTGGGTTCCCTAGTTTTTGCAGCATTTTTAAGTGGGCTCCCATGGTTTTTCACCGTCGATACGGTGGGTTCTCTGTTTGGTTCCCGGGTTTTTGCAGCATTTGAAGTTGGTTCCCATGGTTTTCCAATAGGCTCTTTTGGCTTTTGCAGCATGTCAGCTGGGTTCCCTGTGGGTTTCCTAGTTTTTTGCAGCATGTTTAATGGGTTCCCATGGTTTAACAGCATCGACGGTGGGTTCCCTGTGGGTTCCTTGCTTTTTGCGGCATTGCAAGTGGGTTCCCATGGTTTTCCCAGCATATATTGCGCAAAGGTCTGGGTGGGCTCCTTGGCTCTTGCAGTGTGTCAGCTCGGTTCCCTGTGGGGTACATGTGGGTTCCCATGGTTTCTCCAGCTCGCGCATTATGTTTCAGAGAAGAGTGGAACTGAAGAAGATGTTCAGGACAGTGGCTGAAGGTGTGGCCCAGTTCCATCGCACATCTTGCGCTGCATTTGGATTTGCTGCTTTGAAGTAAGGCTGCAAAAAGCACGTCTGCTATCTGCAGTTTGGGTCTAGACCAAAGACGTTAAACAGGCTCACCTCTGATGCACATGAGGCTCGCCGCCCTCCTGTGGTAATGCTCTTGATAAGTTTGCTGCAGCTAAATGCTGGCACGCTCATGCGAGGATTTTGCGGCATCTACTGGTAGATGTTAATCTCAGCTTGTAGCTTCAACTGTTTCGATTGCTTGCTGTACGTGGGCTGTTTTTTTTTTTTTTTTCTCCACTTGCAGGAGCTCTTTTTTCCTACAGAATCGTAGGAAGCCTCGAAGGGCCTCCCCTGTGCGGGAAAGATCTTGTACGAACAAGAACAGAAGCACTTGTCTTGAAACGGCAGCCGATGGCAATTTTGGCAAATTTTCCAAAAGTATCTCACATTTCACAGCATGTTGGCTTTCTTGGACGTTGATCCAAACAGCATGCGGAAGGAATTTTGTTTTTCCGTGCAGTTTTCCAGCTGAAACGGGTTCCAAAAAGCAGCTCTAGTCCGGGCACCGAAACGGGGCCCCCGATTTTTGGCTTTCTTCGTTGGACATACAAGCTCACGCAATTCGGGGCCCCAGATTAGAGCTCAGATTTGGGAGCCATTTCTGGGGCCCAGTTATGCCTTTTTTTCGTCGAGCATATGCCACATCTGTGTGCGCGAGCCTGGGCCGTTGCTGCAAAACAGTGGTAGTCGCGTCGCTCGCGCGTGAGGGTCTTCTGTTTGGTGGCAGTTGGGGGTGGGCCGTGTTGGTTTGCGCGGGTCAAACCTCAAAATAGACAGGGGAGGTGGTGGGGAACGCGTCGGGGCGGGGGGAAAGCTGTGACCTTGTACAAGACAGGGATCCTTTCTGCACAGCGTTCGATCCCCGAGTGCAGCTAGGGGGGGGGGGGGGGGGGAGGGAGAGGGGGGGGGGCGGTGGGGGAGGTCAGAACGACTTTGTTTTTGTGCCACAAGACCGCAAACCCGGTTCGCACGCTTGCAATCCTAATGACAGTATGTCAACGGAAGCAGCTACGGCCTGGCGAAACAGCTTCCTTGAAGGTTAACTGCAGTTGCAAAAGGGTTTTAGGTGTTTGATACTCGCGCAAAAACTTCTCAAAACAACCAACCACCAAAACTCTGACAGAGACGGAGGAAGTTACCAAACCAAAACTTCGAAGCAAGGCAGGACAGTTGTTAGCAATCTTGCACACACCTGCACAGGCGAGCGAGCAAAAGTCAGGTGCAGCGAAGCCTGCAGCTCAGACGATTCTTGGAGGAAACTTTGCAGAGTCACAACCTGACTCTCGCTTGCAAGAAGGTTCACTCGCGAGCTTTGACCAAAGCATAGCCGCCGGCCTTGACGCCCGTCTGACCAGTAAGAATTCGAGTGCACGTATTTGATGGCTTGTGTGAGCGCAGCTCAGTCAGTGTGGTGAGGGAACGAACGGCTGAACTTCGTAAGTGGATGCTTAGGAAGAAAGATCTTGATGAGAGTTTTGATGGACCCGCACATTGCCAGAAGATTCTAGCTGGAAAACGTCTGTCTTGCCGAAGAAAACCACACGATTTGGGAGGCTAACCGCACTTGCAGGGACCCTGAAATAACCTTGGAAGTGTATTGCCTCACCTTTGAGGAAAGGGATAAAGGATGGCTGACCGGTCCCTTTACTCTTTGCCGATGTGCCGGAGACTGCCATCGTTGCACATTTTGGCGTCAGGCAAGACGACGACCGCCGGTGTGTGTGAAAAGTTTGCTCCTTTTAGGTGTTCCTTTGAGTACGGCTGCTCAGCAGGGAGCGAATCCGCTTGCTCCTGTCCAAGATCCGGCTCCTGCTCCTACGCAAGCACAGCCTTCTGTACCAGCGGCAGGTTCGCCGACTGGTGCTACTGTGCCTCCTGTGCAAAGTCCATCGGCTCCACCTGTTCAGAGTCCGAAGGCTGCTGCTCCGAGTAGCAGCTCTGGTTCTGCAGGTTTGACGCCTGAGCAGATGCCTGGATTTATGATGGAATTACTTCGTCAGCAGAGAGAGATGATGGCAATGAACCAGCAGCTCGTTGCGACGATGCTCCGGAGAATGGATCTGGAGGAAGAGAGAAGGAACAAAGCGGAAGAGAAAGTTCACGAGGCAGCTGAAGCGGCCAAGCAGGCAGCAAAGGCAGCTAAGACTCGGGACCCCTTCCAGCCGAGCACTGCTCCCGCGAGCAGTTCTGCCGCGAGTTCGGCAGTTTCTCCGGCAGTTCCGTCTCCCTCTGGGTACTCTGGTGCTGGAGGCATGGGGAAAGGGCGCATGAATGGGGGGGGGGGGGCGTGGTGGGGTAGAACTTGGCACTAGGGGGGGGGGGGGGGGGTGGGGGGGGGGGGACGGTGGGGCCTGTTGGATGGGGGTAGGTGGGGGGGGGGACGCTGAGTTCCTGGCTTGCCCTGCAGGAAGAAGCGTTTGTTCGGGAACTGCAGCTTTGTATCCTTGTGAAGAAGGAGATTGTGCAAGCTGACTTGAATCCCGAGACTGCCGCACGTAGCTCCAAGCTGTTCTACTACTTGACGCAGTCCCTCGCCAAGTGGGAGCGGGGAAGCGAGCTCTTGAGGTCCTGCTCGAAGAGGCAGGGGCAGAGCGCCTGCGGCTACGAGGTGATTAGGACGATTACCTCTCAGTACTCCATCGTGTCGCGGATGGAAGCTGTCTTCGTGAGAGAACAGGCTTTGAAGTTGTACCAGCACGTTGGGCATCTGAAGCGGCCCACCGACTTGATTCGACATCTTGAGGATTCGTTTTCGAAGTCTGAAGCGAAGCTGAGCAACTTTCCGGAGCTTCAGCTGTCTGAGGCTGACCGCTGCTCTGTCCTTTTGCAGAGCTTGGGTGCAGAAGTGCGTCAGTACGTGGTACTGCACGGGTCCAGCTCGAACTGGGAAGCTCTTCGAAGGACGCTGACTTACTACGAGGCGCAGCTGCGACTGTGTGAGGCCCCTGGGTCTTCGGGCCGAGCCTTGCAGGAGAAGCTTTGCGACTACTGCGGGAAGAAGGGACACACAGCCGACAAGTGTTGGCAGCGCCAAAAGGAAGAACGCGGTGGTGCACCGAAGGGCAAAGGGAAAGGAGACAAAGGAAAGCCGAAAGGCAAAGGCGACCAGACTCCCAAGGGATCTGGCACGCCCCGTGGTTCCGAGAAGGGCAAGGGCGACAGAGGAAAAGGCGACAAAGGAAAGGACAAAGGCAAGAAGCAGAAGAAAAAGAAGAAGGGACAGCCTGGAAAGGGACGCTCCTTGACAGAGCCGGAGTCCGAGGCCGAGTCGGGAGGAAGCGCCACAGTGATGGCGATGAGGTTTTCCTGTCCTGGGCGTGGTTCTTCGGAGCCTTCTTCTTCGGAACGCCGTGTTCTGAGACAGCCTGAGAAGCCTGAGCCGTCCGCCCTTGTAGTTCCGAAGCCGGGTTCAGGACCCGAAGGGTCGCCTGGGTCTGAGAGTCGAGGTTCTGAGTCTATGGGCTCCTTAGGATCCCGTGTGTTGAAGCACGGCGACGTAGCTCATGTCTGCAAGGCCCTCGAGACTACTCCTGGGGACCTGTGGCTAGTCGATAGTGGAGCCACCTGCCACATTGTTTCAGACAAACATCTCTCAGGATTTCGTGTTGTCAAGAAGTACGACCGAACGGCCAATCTGTTCAATGCCTCGGGTGGTGCGATCGTCGTTTCGGGGGTTGTCGACCTTGAGGTTCATTTTGGAGATGTTTTCCTGAGGTTGGAAGAGGTCTTGGTGGCGGATGTTGGGTTCAACGTTGTTTCGCCTTGGACCGGGTCGGAACGGGGCTGGAAAACCTATCTAGCCAAATCGGGATCACGATTGTACAAAGGAAACGGAAAGAAGAGCATCAAGCTGATGGGCGCTTCGCGCGCCTGGTGGGCTCTGAGCGGGAGGTCCAAGGGCCGGGGGAAAGAGAATTCTTCCAGACGCCCCCCGAAAGGGATCGAGGATATGGAGATAGATGCCTTGAAGGACCGCGACCTGCTAGGATCGAGCAAGGAGTCCACCGCAGGACCCCAGAAGCCTGGAGAAGGAATCCTGAAGAAAGGAAGAAAGACTTCGGAAGAAGACGAGTCTGGCCGCCACGCTTTGGCTGCCACTCCTTTTGGGTTTCTGCTTCGGGGTCTTAGGGCGGAAGTTGCTCCAAGAGTGCCTGCACCACGGGAGATTGAGCTTTGTGATCTTCTAGAAGAGTCTAGTGACTTTAGGCAGGGTACGACGCTTGATTTTAGGAAACAGTTGCATGCTGGCATGTCGCTTGATTTTAGGAAACAGTCGCATGTGGGCATGGCTCTTGATTTTAGGAAACAGTCGCATGTTGGCATGGTGCTTTGCATGTTTTTGGCATGTTTTTCCATGGTTTTGCGATGGCATGTTTTCATGATGGACATGGTTGTGCAAGCGCAGTGGGTTTTGGCTGCTGTGCTCAAGCGGGCTTTTACCCTTACGGTTTTTGCAGAAAGACTCGGCATACGCCTCTTTTTCCTGCTATGGGAAACTATCTGGGCGGATCAAAGCCAGAATGCGAGTGCCGGTGCGAAGTGTGCGGAAAGCAGGTCTGCGTCAGACGCAAACCTGCGCACACCCATCATTATTGTTGGGCCTGCATTCAACATTGGTCTGGGTTGCAATGGCTACGTGCCCACGACGAAGTTCCAGATTCGCAGTATGCTGAGAGCGATGCAGATGGTAGCATTGCAGCTGGGTGGGTCTTGCTTGTGAAGAAGACAGACCCTTCAGCCACAAGAGGGTAGAAAAAGGGTTGCGAAAGCAGCGGCGTGAGCCTAGGAAGCAACTGCGTGAGCCTAGGAAGCAACTGCGTGAGCCTAGGAAACAGCTGCGTGAACCTAGGAAACAGTGGCATGTTGGCATGCTTGGCTTGATTTTGCAAACGCTGATGTTGCCGAATGTTTGCGCTAGCACTGCGCACGATTCATCTGCAGCCGTTTTTCTCTTTGGTGAAGAGAGGTCTCCCTTTGGAGATCATAATGGACGGTGCCAGCGGGGACGAGTTTACCCCGAGTGTTGCTTTGAGCAGCCCAGGCTCTCCTGGGAAACCGCCTACTCCACCGACTTTGGAGAGCCCCTCTTTCGAACTACCGGGGGTCGAGCCGCCGGGTGGGGGACCATCGTCGCCGGTGGCGGTCTACCCGTCGCCAGTGGTGACGGAAGCAGCGGAGAGCTCTGCAGATGGGCCTTCGCAGGCAGATGCTGCTGGAAGCCCTGTGGAGGAAAATGCTGCGAGGAGTCCGCCGAAGGCGGATATTGCAGAGAGCCCTTTGTTCTCCGAGAGCGAAGGGGAGGAGAGTTGGGGCACCCAGTGGCCGAATCCTTCGAAGCGCCTGCGCGCTGGGGTTCCTTCAGAGGTCGAGGGGCCTACGCCACCGCGGGTTGGAATCCCGGCGAATATCTCGCCGGGCTCGCTGAGCCCTCCGTTTGGTGCTGTTCAGATGGATGTGGGAACCCAACTCCTCCTGAGAGCGTTGAGGCTGGAGGCTGGCCGCAGATGGGAGCATGCGGAAACACTAGGCCTTGCAAAGGTCTCGGTCGACTCTACCGAGCCTATTCCGTTGCTCTCGCACTTGGCGGGGATTCCAGCGAACATGAACGATGCCTACGATGCCCCATCCCTGGCGTTCTGTGCTCCAGGCCACGCCTTGAGAGCACTTTGCTCTCCGACGGCGACAATGCTCGGTCCGATAGGCCTGCCCGACCTAGAGCATCCAGCTGCTTGGCTACCAGCCACTCCAGTGATTCCTGTGACAGCGGCCTATCCAGAGGAGCCAGTGAGGGTTTCGAGGCCGAAGATGGTGGAATCGGAAGCCCAATGTATCATTGGGCAGCAGGAATGGGAGGTTTGGTTGGGACGTTGCCTAGAGGGCAAGAGCCTAGCAGAGTACGGGCTTCATATGGAAGACGTGGAGTTCGCTGTCAGGGTTACCGAACTTCTGGAGGCTCCACGGGCCGCTCGGGCAGCGTGGAAACGAAGGTTCCAGGAACCCAACCCTGTGTCTATGTTACACTATATCTTCCATTGTCGAGCTGTACTGCAAACCTATTTGGCTACGCCTGCTGGATACAGGGGACTGGTGGGAGCGCGGGCGAGTCTGCTCGTAAAGGTGCCCCAGTCTGTCACCTCGCTCGAGCTCAAAACGGCTTGGGCATACCTAGATTCGGGCATATATCTCCGTGTTGCCCGATATTACAGGCGAAAACGAGAGGAGGAGCGCCTCCACGAGGCCCGGGAATCCATGCGAGCGGCAAGGGCCAAATCGGCAGCGATCCCTCAGGGCGGTGTTGTGGACACCACCTCTTCGAGCTCCGACGAGGAGTCTTTGCTCCTTGGAGAAGGAGAAGTTACGGCGCTGAACAGGGCCCAGGGCCAAGAAGATTTATCCGACATCGCCATATGGCGCACGTTGGAAGAACTTACAGGCCAGAGGCTGTCCCAATTGGATGGCTTCGTTGGGGCCGACGAGGGAAATCAGCCCGCCGAGGCGGGACAGCCGGCACCGCCGAGCCCGGCTTCCTCGATGCCACCTGGAGAACTGGTGGCTACTGCATTCAATCTCCCGAGGGTCTCAGCACCTACGCTTCCGGAGGGGATGCAGAGGGAGGACTATCAAAGACACGGCGTGAACATCCCGCCGTCGGTTCCAAAAAGATCTCGGCTACCAACGCCTCCGAGAGCTATGAGTGCTTCTGCCACAGGACAGACTGCCCAGGAACGGGCATTTGTGCTCAGCCCGCCATCTTTAAGCCACAGTCAAGTGACTGCGCAGGTGAGGCAAGCCCTCGAAGAGGGCCAGAGGCTTTTGGAGTGACTCTGCGGCGATCCGCACCGAGGGGTTGGAGTTCAAAAGTTTTTTCTTGCGAGCACGTTTTGCAACAGCACGCTTTGCAGCAGCACACTTTGCAGCAGCACGTTTTGCAGCAGCATGTTGTGTGGCATGAGCGTTGGCATGGTCTGTGGCATGTTGCGTTTGCTCGAAAACCAACCCAACGTACCTCGAACCCTCCTACCTTCGAAACCCGCACCTTTAAAACCACGGCCGCTTTCAGGAATGGTTTCACGCCAGGACTGGATCTTGGTATCATCGTGCTCCTCCTGACGGTCTACAGCCTCTTCTGTGGTATAGCTTTGTGGGTTTCTTCAGGGTTACTTCGGTGTTTCAGGAAAGTGGTTTCGCGAAAGAGGCCACGGAAGTTCTACAGGGTGTTTTCTAGAAAACGCGGAAGCTACTTTAGGATTAAGCTGCGGGACCGTTGGGCCCGCGTCGAGGTGAGTAGGAAACTTCTTTTGAGTCGTGAGGTGAAAGGTTTTGGGCAGCGCGTTTGTGAGCATGTCTGTGAAAACTTAAAGTGCGCATGTTGCGGCATGTTTGGCATGCTTTGTGCCGGAGATGATGAACCGGCCCCGGCAAAGAAGACGGAACAAGTTGAGCACGTGCTCCGAGCCGTGCGCTTTAGAGGTTTACCGTCGCCGGGGACCGGTACACGTTCTGATCCGTTTGACTTAGACCCCGAACCTTCCTCGAGACCTGCTCCCGAAACTTCCTTAAAACCTGAAGCTTCTAGTCGTAATCCTTTAGATCCTGAAGGAATCTTTGATGAGGACCCTGAACCGTTAGGATCTGCCCCTGGCTCTTCCAAGAAACCTCGAAAAGAAAAGGGTCCAACACCACCTGACGACCCGGTTGGACCTGAGGACGAGGAGGACCTGAGGGTTCCCCTTTCTTCTGTTTCGTTGTATAATCATCGGAGCCGAGGGCATTTTCCGTTTGATTCCAATTGTGAAGCGTGTTGTTCTTCGAAAGGGCGCGTTCCGGCGCGTCGCTTGAGGAGGAAGCTGCAGAGAGAGAACCAGACCATAGGTCTTGATTTCTTCTATTTCGGAAAACTGAGGGTACTCTTGATGATGCACCTCGGTTCTAAGTATACTGTCTCTCTTCCTGCGATGCACCTCGATGACCCTGACCTGCTCCACAACATCAACCGTGTGATTCGCGAAATGGGATTAGTCGGCAAAGCGGTTACATTTCGGATGGACCAAGAAGCGGCTCTTGGAGCCCTTGCCGAGAAACTCACCAAGTGCGATAGCAGCCCTGCCAGCGCAACTTTGATTGACGTGGTTCCGGGTTACAGGCCCCAGTCGAAGGGATCGATTGAGCGGCAGGTTGAAACTATGAAGCAGGGTTTTTGGTCTGTTTGGTTGGACCTGGAGAAAGAGGTTGCTAAGGTGAAGCAGGAAACGGAAGCCGTTGAGCTTGGGAAGTATCAGTTACCTTTGGGAGGTTTGCTTTGGCAAGCCTGTGTTTTCTATGTTGCTAGGTGCTATAACCTCTGGTGTACTAGCGTCGGGGATTCGAGCACTAGCATAGATCGACTGCATGAGGAGATTGTGAACCGAACTCGGACAAGACCGTTCGGGTGTCTGGTTCAAGCTCAGGTCAGTAAGTCCAAGGCGCACCATGATAAGTTCAGGGGCGCCCGGACCGTGAAAGCGGTTTATCTGGGACCGGTGCACGCCAAAGGTGGCGGCATCTTTGCCGTCCCTATCGGAAGCAGGGAAATAGATATATTCCCCGTCGCCAGAATGATTCAGGGAGGTGACATCTACGATGCCAAGACCCTGGAAGAGCTATCTTTAGCTAAGCCTCTTCTGCAGGACACTGAGGACCCCGAGAGGCCCATACTGTTTGATCCGTTGGAGGCTCCTGGTGATGATGCTCCTGATGAGGGGGCTGGTGTGGGAATGGATGAAGATGGTGATGAAGAGATGATTGAAGATGAGCTTGCTGACTATTCTCCGTCGGAAGCGCCTGAGAACCAGGAGGTTGTGAACGATGAGGGGGATATGGAAATAGACTGGCTCACGAATCACTATCTTGAGTCCCTGTTTCGAGGGCCTGACCTGCGAGCCACCTCCACTGCAGTTGCAAAGTCGTTTGATTTGAAGTTTGGGGGTACGAAGATAAGGTGTGCTGTTCCTCAGAACGCTGTGTCTGAGACTTCGGGAGAGAAGCTAGAACCCGATCTTCTTTACGCATCAATGAAGCTTGAGTTGGAAGAGTTGGAATCCTTCAAGGTTGGGGAAGTGATCCCTGAGCGCGAAGCTCGCCGTCTTGCTAAGGAAAACGGCAGGCGAGTTTTGACTAGCAGGTGGGTCAACACGGTCAAGAAGAAGGGACTGTATAGATCTAGGCTAGTCGTGCGGGATTATGCCTCTATGGGAGGCACCACCTTGAGTGAGGGAATCTACTCTCCTACTACTTCATTGGAGGGTCTGAGATTGCTTCTGTCAATGCTCTGCCGACGTGGCAGTGTGTTGTCCTGCGATGTCTCGGTAGCGTTCATGCATGCTCCCGTAGCGAGGGCAGAATTCGTAGAGTTGCCGAATAATGTGAGCACCCAAGGGACTGGGGAACGAGTTTTCGTCAAATTGCGTAAAGCGATGAACGGATTGCGGTCTGCTCCATTATCTTGGTATTGCGAGTTGGCTGAATACTTGCGCTCTCAGAACTTCGAAGCAAGTTTGGACCCCACTATATTCCGTCGTCTTACGAGGAAGGGTTTGACGATTGTGTTGTTTTATTTGGATGACTTGCTGATCTATAGCGAAGATGAAGCTGAAGGGCGCCGGTTCTACGAGGAGTTGCGTAAAAGATACAAACTGAAACTTACGGGCGAGTTGATTCAAGATTGCCCCGGGGAAGTCTCGTTTCTCGGTCGGCGGATCTTTCGCCGTAAGGGAACGTACGGTGTATTTCGGGCTAGACGAACAGTACCTGAGTTCCTGTTGCGAGGAGTACGGAATCACCAAACCTGCACCAAAGCTCCCTTCCCTTGAACGCCGCTATGCTGAGTTGCTGAAGAAAGGCCAGACTGAGCTGATCAGTCCAGCTGCTCACGAAAGGTACAGAAGGACTCTGGGCCGTTTGGCCTGGGCGGCTCTGTCACGACCAGACCTGCAGTTTGTGTGTGGGTTTCTGGGCCGCCACCAAGCAGCTCCTGACGAAGCTGCCGAGACCTGTATGAGGGATGTCCTTCGTTGGGTCAAGGGTCTTCCGCACAAGGTCCAGAGGTTTCCGAGCAAAAGGGAGATCTTGGAAGATGATGCGGACCCTGCCTCTGTATCTTGTTTTACGGACGCGAGCTGGAGTCTGAATTCGGTAAGCGGCGGGATCATTACGTGGGAGAACTGTTCCCTGAAAAGCTTCAGCAGGAAACAAACGACTACCGCACTCTCCAGTGCGGAAGCAGAACTCGCTGCACTCACAGAGGTTGCTCGTGAAGGGTTGTACATTGCTTTGCTTGTGGAGACCATCCGCGAGGGTATGCCGAAAGACAGGGAAACCGGTTATTATGTTCTTAAGGGATATTCTGATTCCGAATCGGCGGTTTGTATATCGAAGATGCAGACCCTCCTGAGGAAAGTGAGGCACATCGAACTGCGTGCCGCATTCCTTCAGGAGCTGGTGGCCAGGGGTCGTTTTACTATAGAACACATACCGGGAGTGATAAACCCTGCGGACGCCCTCACGAAGAGTCCCACCAACGAAAGTTTGGCTAGTTTGTACGATGCCTCTGGCCTTGTGGATGAACCGAAGGCCTGGGAGAGTGAGCCTACTGAGGTGCACGTGTCTTTTGAAGAGCCCAATGAAAACGAACGTTTTACTCCGTCTGTTCCGCCTTCCTGGAAAGCCGCTGCTTTGAAGCTAGCTCGTGGTGAAGCTAAGTACGTAGTGGTTGAACTGTGTTGTGAAGAAGGAAGTGCGTTGTCCAAAGCCTGCTCGAAGGTCCCCGAGATCGCCTACTTTGGGGTGACTAAGGAAGTTGATCTTCTGAGCTATAATGGCTTGTGTCTTCTGAGAGAGGTTTTCGGAGTCGTAGCTGAAGGTGAGGTCAAGGTGTATGCTCACTTGTCTACTCCGTGCTCTGCTGGGTGTGGTTTAAGGCACCTGAGGTTTAAGAAGGGAGGAAAGGCCCTGGAGAAGTGGAGAGCGGCTCTGGCCGTTCACAAGAGGTCCTGGAAAAGGATCGAGAAGCTGTTGGAGCCTTACGTGGGCTCCCCGAACCTTCTGCTTTCTCACGAGTGGCCTGAGAGGTCAGGACTGTGGGATGAGACTGTGTTTAAGAGGGTTTCTAAGAAGCTTCGTTTGGATCAGGGTTGCCTTGTGGATCGTTGTTGCTTTGAAAAGGGTGACCAACGACCTTGGAAAAGATGGTGGTTTGTGTCCAACCGCACAGAGTTTGTGTGGGGACTTTCTTCTCAGTGCTCTGAGGGACACGGCCACTACTACCTTCCTCTTCCTGAGTCAGGTGTGTATCCAGCGGGTTTAGGATTCGCTCTCCTGAAGAACGCGAAGAAGACTTTTGAGGAGAAGTGAAGAGGACTCTCGGGCATGAGGGGGTGTGAAAAGTTTGCTCCTGGCTCAAGGCTGTGAGTGCTCAAACCTGCAGTGCCGTCGTGGCCGCCCAGCCTCGAGTCCGTAGCTAGTGCTTTGGCTCCGTAACAGGCTCAAACCCAACCATTGCTTTTCCTGCCCCTGTGGGCTCGGCGCGTGGGAGGGGTAGTGGCAGTTCCGACCGACGGTCGAGGGCAGTAGTTTAGCGCAATAGCACATCCTTGCCGTCCTTGCACTACTCCTGTTGTACACTTCACCAGGTTCTTGGTCGCTGGAAGTTTTGCTTGGACGAAGACAGTTGTCGAGGTGCCCTGACCTTGCCTTCGTGCTGCACCTTCGGCTCCTCGCCTTTGTGGCTGAGGCACTAGTCCGTTTTTCCTCCCTTCACTGTGGTGGACGGTGTCTTCAAAGGTGAGGTTCCTCTTGAGCTGGTTGAACTGGTCTTCTCCCGCCCCAGACGCAGGGCCCCTTTGTGGATCTGACCGTGGAGAGCGGCAGATTTGCCTTCGCAAGCTGTGCCGGGAGCACCAGTGTTCTTAGGGCAACCACTTTTTAGTCGTAAGCGTCCCTCGAGGTGCTACAGGCTCTCCTTCGGGTTCCCTCGGGACGAGACAGTGGTTCCTCCCAGTCTCCTGCAGTACCATACTGCAAGCCCCTTCCCTCCCTCGCCTACTGGGTTGAGGTGGCGTTGCGCTGCCTCCCGCCGTTGGGGTTTAGGATAGGTTAGGGAGGATTCTTTCTCGCTTGGCGCCTCCGTGCCGCCGGGCTCCCACTCAGCTTTTCTGGCCTGTGATGCAGTGTCGTCTCTCCCCTGGCGTAACTCTCGCAGCTTTTGCGACACTTCGCCTATACTGCTGGCCTGGAGCTGTTTTGGCTTTTGTTGCTTTAGGCAAAATTTGCTCGCTTTTGCCTGTTTTGCGGAGAAGGTCCCGCTGCAACTCAAGGGGTTCCTTTGTTATTCACTTCGTTTGGTGCCAGTCGTGCGTCGCGTGTTATGGCCTTCACTTGAGCATGGGCGCCAAGGCCAGGACCCTCACTCAGCCTGCTTTTGCCCGGCGGGATTCGGGTGCGAGCTCTGTATACCCCGCCGCACAAGGTTTTATCCTTGCACGCCTGAGTTTGGTGTTGGCAGTCATGCTGTTCTCCGTGGGCTGAGCAGTCCCTGGCTTTCCTCCCTGCAGCACCTTTGGCTTCCTGGCCCCGTTCTTTTTGTTTACCTGCCTTGGGTTTTGGGTTGCAGGCCCTGTTCCTCCCTCCTGGGTTTCTCAGGGGCAGGTCTCTTTTCTGCCCGTCGTCTTCCATTGCGGCTGAGTGGCACAGCGTTGTTCCCTGCGCTTGAGAATTGAAGGGAAAGCGTCGTTCCCTGCGCCTCGTTGAGGAGAATGCGTGGGCCCCGCGCTTAAGTCCAAATTGAGGGGCTGCAGCTCTGTTGCTGTGGCTGCAGATGGGCAGTTGGCAGCTCGTCTCGGCTTGCTTGCGCTTGCAGATGAGCCTTCAGGTTTGGTTGTTTTCTTTAGGCCCTTTTGACCCTTCCGTTTCCTCCCTCGGGCCAAGGGAGTCGCGCACCTTCGGTCTCTTTTCGGCCAGCAATGCCCACTCAACCTGCCTGTGTGCTTGGTGGACCGTGGTGTTGTGCAGGCCAGTGGCAGTGTAGCTGAGGTTGCCCCTGTCCTTCGCCCCTGGGCCCAGCCCTCCTCGCTTCTGGCTAAGGTTCACCTCGTACTTTCTCTTCTCCCCGCCGTTCTCTTTCCTAAGGGCGTTTGGGTGCGATTGGTGGGGTTTAGGATACTCTTTACGAGCCCCTGGAGGTTCCTCTCCAGCCGCTCCCTCAGGGTCCCCTCTCTTGAGGTTGGCTTCGCCCAGGCTAAGGGCAGCTGCTCTGGCTCCTCACCTCTGGATTGAGGCTCCTCACCTTCCTGGTTGAGGTTCATCACTTTCTGAGGCTTTCGAGCCGGGGCACAAAGTTTTCACCCCCTCTGAGGCTACAGAAGCCAGGACCCCGTTTTTACCCTGGGACTTGCCGAAGGCATCCCAAAGGTGGTACTGAAACCCTGTACAGAGGTAGGGCCTCCGCCCCTCGCCTTACTGGCCGAGGTTGCCGTAGCCCTTCACCCAATAGGGGTCTGAGGTACTCACCCTTCTGCATGGAATTCACGTGTTGAGACCTCGTCTACGACGGCCTCCGCGCTCGGCGAATGAAAAGTTTGCTCCTGGCTCAAGGTCTGGCTCGAGTGACCGCAGTGGTCGGAGAAGTAGTTGTCTGCAAACAGTCCTGGGCTCTAACTGTGTGCTGAAGAGACCCCAAACAGGTGAATCCCAGGCTTTGTAGCTGTGCTTCTTCGGGCCATCACTCCCACTTGCCTGTTCCCACCGGTAAGGGTTCAGCCCTCGGGGGACCAATCCACCTCACGAAGGGGATACGTCCACCCAAGGGACTTGCCAGCTCCCACCGGAAAGGGCTCGGCCCTCGGGGGAACTGTCCACCGCGCCAAGGGGGTACGTCCCCCTGTGGTGGGTGGTAGAGCAACGCCAGACGCGGACCCACCCTACGAGGGGGGACATTGTGGCTCAAGTTTGGGGTGCTCGCCCTTCTGTCTTCACGGTCAAAAGCCACGGCTTTTGGAGGGTTTTCCTTGGTGCAGGGACACTAAGCACCCAGGGCCGGGCCAAGCTGGTGAGCAGTCTGGAGCGGGTGGCAGTCTCTACGCTGCGAGCTCACCCCAGGCAAACTTGAGCAAGCACCCAGTTGGTGCCCCTGGACCTACTGTGTGAGACCAGAGTCAGCTGTGTTAGTCGTTTGCTTTCACTACGTGCGGCCATGCATGCAGTGCACTCCTGGGACCATGCCTACCTGGGCAGGAGAACAGATGGAGGCAGGTCTTTACCGACAAGCAACGAGAAGGTTAGGATTGCCTACATGTGTGGTGTGGGTAAGTGACGGCAAGCGTGAGGACCACCAAGGTGGTGGAGGCTCCTCCAGGTGGTTTCCCTTGGCGGCTTTGGTAGGGTTTAGGGTTGTTTTTAGGGCGGCGGTGGGCCTTGTAGTGAGCCGCCAATACAGGAGCTTGCATTCTGGACATGCAGGAAGATCATCTCACCAGCCTCGAGGTGATCTTCCTTTTTAGCTCCCTCAGCCTCGGTCATCCGCTTGAGGGCCTTGCAGTATGCCTTCAAGCTTGGTTGGGCCGAACCTGTCTGCGGGCAGGTGTCACATTTGCAGGAGTTACTGCGGGCTCTTGCGTCCCTGTGCTTGGCGTCGAGCTGAGCCAAGTACTTGGGATTTTCCTTAGTCCACTCCTTTTCAGGGTGGCATGGCAAGTGCGGCTAAGCGCTTGCTTCTTTATTGGCAGCAGGTTCCCAGGCCTGTCCAGACCGTGGGTCCTGCCTGAGCTGCAGCCCGAGCAAGGGTGATGGGTCAGCTGGTGCGGCGTCGTCCCCGCGCTTGTTGAGGGGAGCGTCGACTCCTGCGCGTTTGTGCATAGTAATGGGTGCGTTTGCCCTCGCGCTCATTGAGAGGGTTTAGTGCCGGCTGACTTTTTCGCTTTGGTTTTGGTTTCAGCTGCCGAGGGTGGACGGTTGGCTAAGGCCGCCTTGTGAGCGTGAACAGGCCCGCGCCGGGGGCCAGTACCCAACCGCAGTGCAGAAGGCAGTGCGCGCTCACTGTCTCTGCATAGACCCTCTCAGTTTTGGCCTGGCCGTGTTTGGGCCTCGCCTTTCAGTGCAAACACCGCATGCACAGCTCTGTTGTTTGGCGCGGATCGTGCAGAGCCTCGCGGCGGATCCCTCCGAGTTGAGGTGTCTCTCGGCAGACAGGGGGCCTGTGGTCACTCTGCTGCTCGAGCCTTTTAGTAAGGCAGTTTGCTTCCACTGCCCGTTACTGGGGTGGAGTTGGTTGGCAGAGGTAGCCGAGTGCCCAGAGCTGCTGCGGCATGGGTGCTCTGGCCCTTGTTAGTAAGAGCGAGAACGCAAGGGCCACCTCAGTTGCCGCCCAGCGTCCAACCCAAGCTCGTGAGTCTTAGGTTCTCTGCTCCAAGCCTTGGGGGGTTCTCCTCCCTACCGAGCAGCGGGGCACGGCCAGCTCACCTAAAGCTCTCCACAACTAGGGGGTCTGGCCCACCCTGGAGAAAGCGGCCCTTGCTGGTCTTGGTTCTCCCTGGGAGGGACTGGCTTCCTAGAACCTCCCTAATGGTGGGAGGGAAAGGGCCTCAGGCTGAGTGAGCTGCTTCTTCAACCTCACCGGCAGGGACCGGGAGGTAGGACCTGTGTTAGGACCTGAAGTAGTTCCCTCCGCGTACCTTCCAGCAAGAACTGGGAGGTCGGGGGTCTCTGAGCGCTCCTTAACACAAGGAAGCTGCTTCTTTGGCTGTCAGAGTACAGCTTTCAGACCTGCCCTCACGGGCCGCGACTCTGTGCGCAAGACTGAGAAAAGTTTGCTCCTGAGGACATTTTCCAGGAGCTGCGCCATCAAAAGGACCGCTTGAGCCTCACATGGGTAAATTCCCACCTCTCCCAGGATGCCTTTCAAGCCAAATTTGGGCAAGAAAACTGGTGGCGCTGGGAAGCAAACCAGGCGGTCGACAAGCTGGTGCAAGCAGCAGCAAACCAGCGCAGAGACCTCAACTGGGAGCAACAAGTGCTCATCAAAGATGAGGTCGTGGGCCGCATCAATGCTTTCCTGGCAAACAGAGTGCAGGAACTTTTCCAGTATGGTACTGGTGAAGGACCCCAGGTAGTCTTCCCTGAAACACCTGGTGACGAAAACCAGGAAAAGCCACCCTCTAAGAAAAAGCCAGGGCCCAAAATCAAGACCAACTTCCAAACCAAAGGGAGGAAAAAGACAACTGGTGACAAACCAGTGCAGCCAAGCCAGAGTGAAGGCCCCAACAAAAGGCAGCAGCTGGAAGCGCTTCTAGCTGGCCATGGACCAGACTTGGGGCACGAGTGGCGCGAAGGTCACCGCAGCAGGGACAACCTGTGTGTCA